CGGGGCGCGCGGGGCCGCCCGTGTGCGCCTCCCCGAGCGGGGCCGCACGCGAGCCCAGGACTGCTCCCTCTCCCGCCGCTTCCCCGTGCGCCGTGCTGGCCTGTGCCAACTCCGCTCTGCAATTCCACGAATTCTTCCTGTAAGGCTGCTGTAATTAATTCCTCCAGGACCCTGATTTTTATTAGAAGTACCCGCCCGGTGCATTTACAGCAGGAGATTTCCCTTTAACTTTCTCTCGCTTGACAGTTCATTTATAAGAGCCTCCCCCACATGATCTACTTTCCCCCCCTCCCGCCTTCTCATAAGGCGACGCACTCACTCATCTTGTCACCGGCCGGCAGCCCCGCGGACGAGCTCATGGAAGCGGCGGCTCCGCTCCGAACCCGGGGAACGAGGCGGCAGCTGGGAGAAGGAAAGCGCCGTCCCTAGGGATACGCCTGCGCTGCTCCCGACCTGAATCCCTGGCCCTCCAAGTGGCCGCGCAGAGGACACTAAAAATAACTTATTTTCATTACAGAGATGCTTTTAAAGAGAAAAGAGAGGAAGGGGAGGGGGGGAAGCATTTCTACAACGGGGATTAATGTAAGTTGGAGTGGAATAAAAGGAAGTCAACGCTGAGCAAAAAGGGAACTTAAAAGGAAACCAGTAGTAGATCATATAGAGTTTGTTTTGGCCTGCACTGCAGTATTGCCGAGTTCTTGACCTCTGCACAGAAAGAGCTATAATCTGCACCGAGACTCCTCCACTTTTAAAGTCTTTGTAAGTGTGACTCACAGTAAATTTTCAACATCGGGCATGTTTACTACATTAAGCAGCGCGAGGTAGAAAAGTTCACAGCACCGTGCAACGCACCCACGAGCGCGGGCGGCCAGAGCGCCTGTGCACGGGTTTGTCACCACGTCCAGCTACCAGCGACAGGCAAAGTGCGAGCGGCGCTGCAAGCGGAGTCACCACTTGCCGAGGCCACAGATTTGAGAGAGGCTCTTGCTTGCAGGGTCTTTGGTGACGGTCTTCCCACCGGTTTTCTCGCCGCCTTCCCGACTGCTTTGCCCCAAGACCACGGTGAGGGGCCGCACCAGCAGCAGGGGCGAGCGACTGCGCTCTTTCCTTGAGCATCCCGCGAGGCCGCGGACATCCCCTTCAGAACGGCAGCAGTGGTAGTAACAATAATAATGACTGCTCCAAATCCTGTTTCGACAAGTGCGGTCGTTTTTCCAGGCCATTGCAGCCTTGTGGCTTATGAGTGCCGTTCATTTCTGCACGGTATTTAGTCTCTCTTTCCTTGACCACCCTCTCTAGCCGAAGCACTCGTGCGGCAGGAAAACCGTGAAGGGACAAGTTTCGTTTCGTTCCGTTTTTCAGGTGCTTTTGAACATCTGGACGCGAGGACAAGAAGGGACCAGCCGGGCTACCCAGCCAGAAGCGGAACAGGCTCGGGACAAACAGGAGCTTCCCTCAGCCGGGAAGAAGCCCGTCCTGACCTACATCCCGCGCCGCAACATCGGCTCCCGGCGGGGCGGGGGGGGTAGCCCTTCTCCT